GCCTCATGTGGCGAGAGTATGCAGGCAGTTCCTGGAGGATGAAGGAATTGATACCATTGAATGGCCCCCACGCTCGCCTGACCTAAATCCATTAGAACACCTCTGGGACATTATGTTTCAGTACATCCAACAGCGCCAGGTTGCAACTCAGACTGTCCAGGAGCTCAGTGAGGAAATACCCCAGGACACCATCCGTCGTCTCATTAGGAGCATGCCCCGACATTGTCAAGCATGCATACAAGCACGTGGGGGCCATACAAACTACTGGGTACCATTTTGAGTTGCTGCAATGAAATTTCAGCAAAATGGACAAGCCTGCTGCAACATTTTTTCACTTTGATTTTCGGGGTGTCTTTGAATTGATAATTTTCATTTCCATCAAACGATGTGGCATCCTTTCGTTCCTAACACATTACCCAGTCCATAGCAGTATAGATATCCAGCATGATATTTTTCCCCATTGAGATCTGATATGTAAATTTTTTTGAGCAGCGTATTTCGTTTTAATTTTTAGTACTTCAACAAACTAAAAGAATATGATAAATATTACCTTAGCAACTAGCTGAAATAAAATAACTACGCTATTTTAATATTTTATTTTAGTAAATGTTTATTTTATTCCAAGTAGGGCTGCACGATAAATCGAAATGGAATCGAGATCGCGATTCGACAGAAGCTGCGATTGTCATGCGTATCTTTCAGTGAAGCACGGTTCTGTGATCACCAGTAAATCTCCATCCGAAGGCCAGTAACTTGTCAGTGAACTACGGCTATGTGTAGTAAATGCTGCTCCTTCTGAAAGCACCTGATGATGATTTCCTGCTGATTACAAAACCGACTTTACTAACAAAATGCGCATGACAATCGCATTCGATTAATCGTGCAGCCCTAATTCCAAGTAATGTTTTTTATGGTTTTAGTTTTAGTTAATGATAATAACCTGGGGTGCATGGATTAATTTCACACTACCTTTGTCCTTTTGGGGCTTTTGGTCTGCGCTACCTTTAATAATATGAGTTGAAACATTCTTCAAAATATCTTCTTTTGTTTTCCACAAAAGTGTTATGAGTTTGGAATTATATGAGGGTTAGCAAATTAAATTTTTTGGTGAACTATTTAGTATAAAGTGATATTTGCCTTAGCGAGAATGAGTAATAAGATGTTAAATTACAAAAATGATTCTCATGAACTCACTGGATTACAAATAACTTTGCTTATTAAACACAAAACATCATTGGTGTTTAATGAGTTTGCCACCTCAGCTTTAATAACGTTTTAATAAATCACATTTCAGCACTTTGATGAGAAATTCCAGAGCTGAAGTTGATGATAACATGTCAGAAAATACAAACACACAGAGCCTCTCTGAACACAAGCCAAACATAAGCTGCCATGAGGTTTTGCCTTCTACAGTATTTTACAAATCAATCCAATCCTTTCTACAGTTTTATGTACATGGTAGTAAACAACAAGACAATACATTAATACATTAATAATGCATCAATACACATTAAATCAGCACTATTTTAGCATGTCTGACAAGAACTTTGTAGCCTGCAGGAACATCCAGCAAACCACTATCATTAAACATCAGGAACTTTCACATAGTTATGAGTGACCTCTGATCTGTTCATACTCATAGAACAACTACTTACATTTGAGAGTCTCTCCAGCATATGGAATATGAAGTTTGAATCTGTCACAGCATGGACCAGGCACTAGTGATGTGCAGCTAAAATGAAAAAGGGGAAAAAAACTTTCAACGACACTTCAATAGCTGAAAAATAGCAATAAATAAATAAATACATTTATTTAGCAAGGAAGTAACAGTAAAGATATTTATAATGTCACAAAAGATTTCTATTTGTTTGCCAAGACCCTGAAACTGAGCTGCAGCACGGTGGCCAAGACCATACAGCGGTTTAACAGGACAGGTTCCACTCAGAAATCATACTGCTGTAATGAAGCAAAGTCACAAATACGCTTTATGGTTTCTCACTTACTGTGCAATCCTGGCTGAAAGCAAAGCTCCCTGAAGACAGCCCCATATCCCAGCATGCCGCAGGGTTTCCTGAGAGGAGCTGCTGCCCCATGAGTCACCATCCCAAGATTCCAGAACTCCAGAGCTTTGCAGAGCACAGTCCAAAGCCTTACTCCAGAAAGAGTGTGCGGATCTAGACACAAACATAAACACATATTAATAAAAAATGCTTTTTTTGTCGTTATATGGTGTGAAATCAAAACATCTGATTACCTACACTGCTGTTCAAATGTTTGTGGTCAGTAAGATTTATTTTACAGAAATTACGTTTTATTTGGCAAGGATGCATTAAATTGACCATAAAAGGAAGTAACAGTAAAGATATTTATAATGTCACAAAAGATTTCTATACCACACCCCCCCCCCCCCCCCACCCAAAAAAAAAAACTTTCTATTCGTCAAAGAATCCTGAAAAGTATCATGGTTTCCAAAAAAAAGGCAGAAAACAGTCAAATTAATAGTAACACCAAATATGTGTTATATAACACCAAAGATTTATTAAGGATGTCACACTGAAGACTGAAGTAAAGGCTGCTGAAAATTCAGCATACATTTAATAAATAAATAAATATATATATATACATACACACAGTATATATATATATATATATATATATATATTATACATATATATATACATTTTATTTTAAAATGTAATAACATTTCACAAATAGTACTGATTTTGTTGTATTTTTGATCAAATAAATGCAGTCAGTGAACATAAGAAATTTCTTTCAAAAACAATAAACATCTTAATTATTTATTAGTGTAGCTGCTGAGGTTTTGGCTGATGATGAATATTATAAACGAATACAATTAATAAATTAATATGTTTGAATAATTAAGACATCATAAAAAGGATTTGCAATCATCTTAAAGGCCCTGAGCTGTAAAGCTCAGCAAAGGATGGGAAATTGCAACCATTCACTACATGATACTGTGCTGTAGTTGTTTTTCCCATAAAACTTTGATATTATTTTAATTTACATATTTAAAGAAGCAGTGACCTATAATAACCTCATTGATCAATTCTGAAAAAGTCCCCTCTGCTTTCTGGAATTCTGATTAAGCATTTGTGATAGGATTTTAATTCAAAAATAGGCTATTTCAGTTCAAGATATTAGTCATATTCGTAACTTGGAGAACTTACGAACGCATTGTTCTCCAAAAGTTATGCTTTTGTTTAGTTTACCGAACACTCACCCACTTTTGAGGTCAGTGATCCGGAGACAGCTGGATGAGTCTAAACCAACCCGTCCATTGCGCACCACAGAGCAGAGTAAAGGCCGCAGCTCAGGAGAAATACGGCTCAATGCCACCTCTGGAGAGAGACTGTTCATCTTCCAAACTCTGCCGCTGTCAATGTGACAAGACACCATGAATATACAGAAATTTTGATGTTCATTCCTCATCAGTAGTACCACAGGTACCACCACAGTCTAATCTTCCCTGCCACCGTTTCATAATAAACCTAAATAATATTACACTTCTCATTACAACATCGATCTCTAAAGTGTTTTGCACCACTGCTTTGAAAAAGCATCCGTCAATTGAACTTAAATTGGAAATATATTACTGTTATAGGGATAATACAAATAACGACAGTAAATGATGTCCAAAATAATATTATTTAATTAATAATGATAATAAAGTAAAAGTATTATTTTTTTATCATTATATTTAAATAGTTTGGCTTCATAAAAACGCTAGTGTGAATGTAATGTAAACTGAGACACTTAATTTTGAACTCTCAAAGTGCACCAAAAGCTAACCAATCACAGCACATTTCGTCTTTCAGAAGGCGGGCCTTCATTTGATACAGGAACTATTCGAGCCGTTCATGCCAGACTGGGGAGAGAGGTGTTGTAATAATGTAAAATATGTGAAAAATAATGTGTTTTTCGAACAACCTAGTATGAGAGCCTGTTCTAGTACACCCCCAAAACAAAATCAAGACTTGGTAAAAGAGCATAATAGGACCCCTTTAAAATGTACAAAATTTTCTTCCGGGGTGGCATGCCTCCAATATAGCGTGCAACAGATGGGTTCCGGAAGTAATTGGCATTCATTTTTTCCATAGGGGATTTGATTTTTAATGATAAACCTTTAAAGACAGACTAACTGTGAGCTTTGTGGTTGTAAATCCACAGTATATGCTTCTGCTGAAGCCATTAGCCTGCATAACTTATTTTTTAAATGATTGTGTTAGCAAATATTCTTGTTGAAAACAACATAGTCCATAATTCTGCAAAAAAATTATCTTCCATTAACTGAAAAACGAGCTCCATCTCATCCACACTCCAATTATTTTGTAATAAACATGAAATATACACATTATCAATTTACATTTATCCATCATTCTTATTTTTTTCTTGTTTGTGATGTTGTGATTCACCACCACTGGTTGGTTTGGTTCATGGCTTTTATCTTTTTAAATTAAGACTTGACTTAATGATTACATGATACTTCCAGAACCAAGGCCACTGAAAATGGGCAGGTGTGCATTTTTTTGCACTCTAAAGAATCCAAGGTCCACCATCCATAGTCTCACTTTGTCACCTATTATCATCATAATAACTGCAATGATTGCTGGACTTATGAAACCAGTTTTAATTGGAACAGGAAACTTGGTAGCTCCACTCAACACTGATGTTAAACTAGAGTAACCTCAACAATGGACAAGTTCCACTAAGTGTCTATAAAAACCTCTCTCTTCATTTTGGACAGTATCTTTATTATATTTCTACCTCTATTATACTTTTACAACTTAAAACCTAAATAACGTTAACTTTTTTGGAAAACCTTTAGAGTACTTATGCTATCACAGTAATTAAGAGGAGAAATAAAAACAGAATAGGCTATGTTCTTGATTAAACTAATTAATGGGTGGATTTTTACTTTTACAAGAAAAGTAAAAACAAAAAACAAATCCAGCTCAGCTGTCAAAACAAAATTTCTAGAATAAACTCTGATATTTACCAATACCTTCAAGCAACTGCACAAACAAACACAACAACAACACTACCTCCGCTGACTTGACCACGTGCATGAATGAATCGAATAATTTGTGTTTGTTTTGTAATTTGAAAATTATTTCGGTTGTTATTCAGTTTGTTTTGGAGCTGCAGAGCTATGCTAACAGACCGGCTAACGTGCTAATCAGGAATTATGAACGAGTATTAGCCTAACTAATGTTTCTTGTATTACCAACGCAGTCGTTTCTCTCAACTACATTTTTATAAGTAAGAAACGCCTTTTCGGTACCTTTTATATGACATACAGCACAAATCTCGAGCATGAACTCATTCCCTACTTCCGCTGTTGTTTTTGAGACTTGTTTATGGATGTTTAGAAATATGCCTGACAATTTCACCACGGTGTTTTTAAATGACTACGTGAATAATACATTCGTATAGTTAGTAGTATACTATAATAGACAAAACTGAATTTTCTACATGATGTTTATGTTTCGGCACATTTTAAAGGCATAAATCATGTGTTTTTTTAAGACAGGAGGAAATAGGGACAACTCAAATGCTCGTCTCGTCACATGCGTTTCTGTGCTGTCAGTCAGATAGACGTAAGAAGAGAGATTGCTGCTTTGACTATTTAAATATCGCTTTACTCAGTGGGCAAATAGGTAAAGTGTACAATATTACAACGTACCAAATAATTCTAAACGCTAATTAATTATACAGTTGAAATTATTGAATATGATATTGCATGAATTCTTGTGATTAATATGATTAATACATTAGACGGTGCAAAGGATTCGTAGACTTTGACCACAACCACTGTCCAGCTAAACCAGCCTCGATAAACAGTTTTATAAAAATCTACAAACATTTTAACATACTGTCTCTGATTGTAAATAAAATACACGTGACTGCTCTTACAATATATAACTGGATATTATTGTTCCCAGCACTGCACATAATGACTTAAATAATTTGTCAGATTGTCCTCCAGGCTGCCCACTTTTAAAATTATTCTGACTGAATTTGGCATATTGCGGCTTATTTACATGACAATGTAGTATGCTCTCCCTAGAAAACTATTTTGAGACTGCAGGCTGTAATACTAATATACTTATAGTAAATTATAAAATAGTTTCTCTCACATGTAACAGTCATGTAACTCATTTTGTTTGTGCAGAGATGGTCATATCTATCAAAGGGTCATGCACACACAGCAAAACACTTCAAGCTATTCAGACCATTAAGACTGATTTGAATCTAAGTATGCAGAAAATGCAGCCTGGACTTTAGTTATTTTGAGAAAATGTAGGCTGTTTCTTAGCCAGCGGCAGGCTTTTGCAGTCCCCTGAGGCCTGCTGGGAGATTTGAGCAGATTAACACTCTACTATTCACATACGTTGCCTACACGCAAGGGGATTGAATTAATGAAGGATTTCCACGGTTGTTGTCAATCACATGATCCAGTCCTGAAATAATCATCCACATTAGTGCAGGCATGCCCAATGTAGAGCATAACTACCAATATTTAACCATTTAAATATTTCTGTTCATTTGTTTCCCTCAACATTTGATTAAACATTTCTGTAAATAATGTAAATTAATGCGTTTCAGTTATATAATGTTGTAGTTTTGTATTTATTCAATCTATTCTGTCTATATTTATATTCAATATCATTTTATTTATTTTTTGTGTATGTGTGTGTGTGTTAGGTCATGTCTGAAGACGTGAGTGTTGTAGTGGTGGGCTCTTGTATGACTGACTTAGTAAGGTAAGTCATCAAAGGATTTCAGTGTTTCAGTGTCACAAGTGAAACTGGGCTCAAGGCAAATATATCCCACATGTTTAAAATGTGGGGGCAAAAATGCCTTTGTAATGCATTATTCTGTCCTGAAGAACTAAAAGTGTTTGCAGCAAAATCTACTGTGACAAAAAAAAACAATAGAGAGCCATGCAATCATACATGTGCCAGAACCATGCATTCTAGCAAACCATTTTTCACAATACATTTGTGTTTGTGTACATTTGATTATATATTTAATATATATATATATATATAATATTTATACATATTTAACAGTCTTTTTGTTTTCAAATATATCATTTACAGAATTTATTTTAATTAATTGATTGTCATTTAGCATAATAGATGACACACAGTTAATACAAAATATGACTTCATAAAGATAGTATTTTTATGGACCAAAATCTGTTATATGGGTGCATATATCATCTCTTAAAAAAGTATATTTTTCCACTGAAAGATTTTTATAAAAAAAATATATAATAATTTTTATTTAGGAAATGTAAGCAGTCAGACCCATACACAATGTCTGAGTCAACATTTAATGTCAAGTTTAATGCATAATGTTTTTTTTTAAAGCATTTTGGATTATGAAATTTACATTTGTGGCATTGTATAATGAACAAGTGTCCACCCTCTATGATCAACATAAAGCTCAATCCTCAGATATCGTCCTGTATGATGATTTCATACTCATGTGACAAACGCTCACACTCGAAGTGGAACATATTCCACATGCAGAAGGCAGACTTTAAGATTTTAAAATAACTCTGAAAGGAATTAGTCCTTCCAGCAGGAACTAAATAAGGTCCGACAAAGGCAGATTTGGGGAACTGCCTTCTGTTCTGCCGGCTCCGTCTATTATTAATATTTCCCCAGGGAACTGATTCACTGCTCACTGGTCACATTTGCCGCCGGCAAGTTTTTTTTTTGGCATCAAGTGTGTCCCAGTCATCTTGACCGCAGTATTTACAGCTCAGGTGAACGTTTTGACTGGAACGTGGCTTAAACTTGGAGTTGTTTAAAATGGTAGTAAACCTATACCTTGCATACCCATACAGTATATCACCCTGGACAATTATTAGTTTGATATTTCAAAATGGCACAGGTAATGGGAAATAAAGATAAACGAAAGTTTTGGTTTTCTGCTTTATAGACGTGTTTAACCATTCTAAGCTATCCAGAGTGAGCATTTTTCTTTCCACACACACCTAAACTAAATCATACTAATTTCTTTCTTTGTCATATACCCCAGGTTCTCAAAACAAATTACCCATTATGAAAAAATTCCAATTGCTCATATATTTTACGATTAAAACGCCAGTCATCGATGTTGGCCTTTGAACAGAAGAGATTACATCAATTAGGCAATAGATTTTGATGAGAAGTATATGTTTGTTTTTCAACAGGCTGTTTTTTTTGGAGGGTGGCTGACACATTTCTCCCATCAACGTGTGCTATGCATGGCTTTGAAGTGTAAAATCCAGTTTTCTATGTGGCTTGTGTTTGTGACAGTCAAACGGAATCAGACACTTTGAAACAAGTCTCGTGTGGAACATCTGTGTGTTTGTGGTGAAGCCAGACAGTGCCACCTGCTGATTACAATTTGAACCGATTAGTTTGCCTTCACTAATTTCACTTGCTAAGGGATGTTAGTCAAGAGTGTATATGTGGCACACACACTCTGCATATATAATAACAATATACGACAGGCAACTTATCTTCGGTTCAAACTGAGACATTTTTGTAATGATATATCATTACTGGTAATAGCGTCATTTAGCAATAATGATGTCTATTTTGATTAACCATATGGTACTCAAAGATACTTTAAAGAATACCATTGTACCATATACATAAAAATAGTACTGTGGCACTGTTTAACATTGTTTTGATAGTGTTGTATTCAGAGTTTAATATTTCTGTTTATCCTTGAAGTATGTTTATATGTTTATATTATGGTACACCAAAAAAAAAAAAAAAAAAGGTGTTGGATATACTTACAATTTTCACTCAGAAATTGTTAGCAAATTTCACAAATACTTACCATGAAACGGCATATGAACATGCAATTACTTTAATTAAAGAAGAAATTCTGAAGTAGGAAGACAAAAAATCTTTGTTTTAAAAAATAATTTTTATGTGTTCTTTATTATCATATTCATATGACATGGTATTTAAATGATATTATACTGTCAAATTACCATGTGAAATACATGGTACTTTGTCAAAAAACAAAATCAAAAACTTAAAATTACCATAGAACTTGTTTGTTTGTTTACAACAAATACTTGCTCCTGTATGATTCCTGTAAGTGTTGCAGAGGCTGTTTTCTGTCTTACTTCTATAAAGTAGTAAACAGCTACTTGCACCACAGCCTATGACACAGAACACCTGTTGTTGTTCCTTTTTGGCACAAGAAAGTTACAGCATTTGTATCAGAATTTGGTTTGTGGGAAAATGACTGTTGCTCGTTAAACAATAAAGCAGTGGTTCCCAACCCTGGTCCTGGAGGCACCCCAACACTGCACATTTTGCATGTCTCCTTTCTCTGACACACCAATTTCAGATCTTGGAGTCTCTACTAATGAGCTGATGACCTGAATCAGGTGTGTTTGATTAAGGAGACATGCAAAACGTGCAGTGTTGGGGTGCCTCCAGGACCAGGGTTGGGAACCACTGCAATAGAGGCACTGGAACTGCATAATTCAGTTCAGATTGTTTTTGTTTGTTTGTTTGTTTTTTGCCTTGCAATCACTTTACGTGAAGTATATAATTGTACTCAAGTAAAGTTGGTCAGGATTTATCTTTATCTACATAATTTGCCACAGTTCATTAAAAACATCATAACCAACTGAAATCTCTTCACTTACCACACACTTTACCGAAATCTCGGCAGGATCTTTGTTCATTTTCATTGACTTCCTGTAATATACCAGCTCTTAACCACACCACGCAAATAACTCACATGTGAAAAACAACTTTATCTGCCTATTCTGCCATCACGTAAACATGGGCTTCTGGAGACTTGGATTGGGGCCAGACCGTAACTAGATGTCTGGGATTGAGGGTTTTTTTTCTCTCTTGTCCAATAGAATGAGTAATAGCTGCTAGTTCTGCTCGGGTGAAAGGCTGACGGACCCCGCAATGAAATGTCACGCACTAAGGCAGCACAGCAATTAGCTTTTTAGGGAGTTCGGAGAACCTGCCTTAGATTTAGAAGGGCTCAGGATGTCATGTCATATTTTCACTTACAGCTCACAAACATAGCATGTTTCCAGTAAAAGGCCCTTTCATTTAAACAATATGGACTTTGAGAACTGGCTGAATTGCCCATCTGTCGTTCCTTTGAAAACAAATTGCATAGCGATACAAAGACTGAACACCCACAATGCATTAATTCAACAGTTTTAAAATAAAAAATGCAAAATTAAGGAAAACTAAATAGGTTGCTTTAAATACAAACTTTGTGTATTAAAATTTATAAAGAAAAATCCACTTTGAGTTTCTCTGAATTCCTTTTTTATTTTATGTACTTAAAAAGTATAGTTCACCCAAAAAC